GGGGGGGGAGAGAGACATTGATGTGAGAGAGAGACATCGATTGGTTGCCTCCCCCACACACCCCGACCGGGACGGGAGTGGAGCCTGCAACCCAGGTTCATGCCCTTGACTGGGAATCAAACCCGAGACCCTTCCGTGCCTGGGCTGACGCTCTGACCACGAGCAGCTCCGGCCAGGGCTCAGGGAGTCCTGTTTTGACAGTCCCGTGTCCGCTGTCTGCCCCTTGGCCTGTAGGGAAGCCCCGCTCGTGCGGGTGCTAGTGCAGCTGTGCACTCAGCGTCGCGTTCCCGTCGGCCTGCTGGCCGCGCTCTCCCTCTGCTCGAATGCAGGGCGCGTGCAGGTGGGGCACGGACGGTCTTACACGATGCCGTCTCCCCAGCGCCCGAAACAGGCCTGGGTGCTCAGCAGACCGCGGGTGTGGGTGCCTGCGGAGGGGAGGTGGCCCTGCGGGGAGGCCCTCTGCCCTCAGGGGCAGGGTGGGCTGGGCTCGCCACACACAAGACGACTAACTGGACAGAGAGGCGACCGTCTTGTGTCCTTGGGTCCTCCTCAGACTCAGGTTTTTTACTTTATTTGTAGTTTTTGTTACTATTTATTTAGTTTTTTTCAAGCATGTCCTCATATCTGCTTCCTCCCCTCTTGGTTTGGGGCCAGCGGGCCACGGCCGGTGAGCAGGCGGCTCTGCGCCTGCCCTTCTGCCGTCCTGATTCCCGTTGGTTGTCCCTGTGCAGGGTGGCTCGAGCCTGCCTCACCCTGATGGCCGCCATGGTGACTCAGGGCCCCGAGGCCGCCAGGGACGTCTGCAGCCACTTCGATTTGAATAAAAAGACCTTGTACAGCCTGGCAACCAAGAGGGATTCAAAGGTGAGCCCCCGGCATCTCCCGCCTCCCCCGTGTTTCCTTTCCCCGCGGAGGATGAGCCCTTTGTCCTCGAGAACCTGGAGGCAGAGGCCTCCGTGTGGAGAGTTGTGCGCCCTGGCTGCCACCGGGGCCTGGGCGGAGGGCAGGCCTGGATCAGTGCGGGGCCCAGTCACCTGGCGGAGCCCGAGTGACAGGGACCCCTGAGGCCAGCTTCTTGGGGGCTCAGCGTCAATGCCTTCCTGCCTGTGCGGTGACGTAGCTTGTGAGCAGGTGAAATAATTTCCATGCCCTGAGGTGTGCACCCTGGGGGGCAGGGTCCCAGTGCTCTTGCTCATGTTCCGTCCACTCTGGAGAAAACCCTTGGCAGTCAAAGCCAGTGACATCAGAGAGGACGTTTATGGCTTTTTAATGATTTTCTTGCCTCCCAAATATTTCTTGTAATGCGAAGGGGCAGGATTCTTCCAGAGAGATGGAAGTGTGAAGATGGGTGTTGGGGGCTGTTAGAAAAATGCCCCCAGGAGGCTCTAGGTGTTTCATGTAGGCTTGGGAGGTTCCCGAGGAGAAAGCACAGGTCTGGGGGCTCAGAGTTGAGAGGATGTCGTCCTGGTGTGTGCCAGCCGCAGGTTGTCAAAGCGTGTCCTGCCTTCCGAGGGACAGGTCCACTCCCTTCTGCCGCTACAGGGCTGTGAACAGCCAGGAGTCAGCTCTGCCCCCCGTCCTGGGCCAGGGAACAGCCAGGAGTTAGCTCTGCCCCCGACCTGAGCCAGGGAACAGCCAGGAGTCGGCTCTGCCCCCGTCCTGAGCCAGGGAGGGAACAGCCAGGAGTCGGCTCTGCCCCCGTCCTGAGCGTGGGGAGCAGACCGGCACCCACCTGTCTGCCCGGGGGGAACCGCATTGGAGGGACTGTCTTCTGCGTCCAGGTGTTCTCTAACTTGCTGGGAAGTGAGGTTCCACAGCGCCAGGTAATGTAGACCGACGGCTCATCATAGGACACCTGGTGACTTGATGGCTCTGTGAGGTGGCCCAGCTGTGAGGGCTTTCCTGGAATTGCAAATAAGTTGTTTTCTGAGGGAAGGCGTCTCGTGGGTACTGTGCTTCGTTAATGTCAACAGATTCCGCCCCGTGAATTAGGCTCCTGATGTTTAGAGGCATTTCTGGCAGGAAGATCCATGTGCTCTTTGCTCACCTGGGCAAGTGTGTCCGTTCCTGGTTCAGCCTGGCCGTGGGTCAGGCAGTAATGATCCATCGGGGCCCCTCCCCTCCCACCGGTCACCCTTGACCTCTAACCACAGCCCGGGCCACCCACTGGGACTTGAGGGCAAGCCCGCGGGGTTTTTATTCTGTTGTGTGTTCTGTACCAAGTATCTTAAATACTTTGTATGTTGCGGGAAACGGTTTCTAGGCATTAAAAAAAATTTTTTTTTCATGTAGGGAGTGTCAGGGATATTCAGAAATAGCCCAGTGACCCCCCTCCCGAGCCTGTCACAGCTTCGGACTCTGTCCCCTCCCACCTTCTGGCTTGTTTGGGGGCAGCCTGTTCCAGCAAATCCCACTTGTGCATCATATGTCACCATGAATATTTCAGTGTGTGTCCTCCAGAAAACGACCTTTAAAAAATAAAACCACGTCGCACCCAACCCATCAATAATTTCTCAGTGTCACCTGAGGCCCAGGTGGTCTGTTTTTTCCCAACCGTCTCCGACATGACTTTACCCTTCGCGGTTCAAATCGGGGTCCAGACCAGGGCCACACATATTTGGTGTCTGAGTTTCTTAAATCTTTTTGCATCTTTTTAGTTTTCTGCTCCCCCCCTTGTGGAGGGAATTATTGAAGCTTCGTGAAGAGAGGGGATTGTGGATGTTTCTCATCCAGCCAAGGAAAGCACTGAAAAACCCTGTGCGGGGGAGCAGTTTACCAAATATGTTTTGGCCTATTTTAGACAGTGTTTTGGAACAAACCGTGGTGTTCGGGACGCACTCTTCCTGGGGTAATAGCCCTGTGAAGTCACAGGGTAGGAATGAGCAGTGTGCGTGGGCCCCCTTGCCTTTGATGGAGTTTGCTGGGCCGGAGGGCGGAGGCCGGGGCTGTGAGGGACGTCTGGTCAGGCTGAGTTGGAGGCAGGGCCTCGGCTGTGGTTCCCTGTCTGGAGGGTTTGTGCCTCCAGTGTTGGGGACCTGGAGTCGGGATGGGTGCGGGAGGGGAGGGGAGAACTACATTCCAGCTCAGAATTCCCTGCTGGAGGGACCCCCGAGCATCTGTGCCAACTCCCCTGTGTCCAAGCAGGCTGGAAGGATCTAGAATCGCAGGGAACGGGGGCCAGCTTCCAGGGCCCGGACTCCCAGTACTTCAGAGGACAAAAACGCCAAAACGGTGGAACCTTTCCAACTACCTGGGAAAGGACAGAACCTGACGAAGCTGACCAGGCAGTGTGAGCATCGTTCCAGCGCTCGGCACAGGCACCCACGGGCCAGGGTGACAGGCAGCCACACTTGGTCGGGTCCGTGTTTCTCTGATGGGTGAGGCATCTGGAGAGCTGGGGGGCACTTGCTGTGAGCCTCCTGAGGACAGACGGGGACTGTGTCTCAGGCATCCTGGTTCCTCTCCCAGGCTGAGGTCACGGCATCCTGGGTGTACTCGGTGTTGGATAAACCGTGACGGCACCGGGGCATTGCTGACACTAAGCAAACGCAGCTCGCCTTCAAGCCTTTCGCTGTCATCGTCCCCAAACTCCCTGTTGTGCAGAGTCCCCACGTTGGTCCCCAGCAGGGGTGAGGGCTCGGGGCTCTTCCTGTTCGGGAGGAACCAGCTGTGGTCTGATCAGGTCTCACCGAGGCGGAGAGACGGCCCCACAGACACGTGATGGGCACACCGGCCATGCAGACACCCAGGCCCAGCTCAGATGTCCCTCCAGGGGAGGTGTGTCCCCAACAAGACGAGGCAGGATCGATCAAACACCCACATAGAGGCCTCGGGGGCGCCTTGAGAACTGAGACGGGGAAACGCTCCGGGAGCCCGGGAGGAAAGACTCCAGTCAAACGGGAAGCCGCCCGTGAAGCCCGTGTCGTACGGTCATTCCCAGCCCGTTCCAGGGCTCACTCACTGAGCAGCTGTGTGACCTTGAGCGAGCTCTTCGCAGCCTCAGCTTCCCCTCTGTGAAATGGGTGCGGTGGGCGTCTCTGCCCCAGGCGGCTGTGAGGAGTCAGCACGATGGCAGCTGGGCAGCATTTGTCATGGTGTCTGGCGCGGTGAGTGCTCAGGAAACGTCACTGGACGTCACTGTCACTGAGAGGCCGGAGCCGTCTGGAAGGTGGAGACTCTGTGATGGTGGCAGGCACCGAGGGCGGTGATTCTCCATGGTGCTCGCTGGTTTCTTGGTGGCTAATTAAGGCACCTGGGATAAGTGGAGTAGGAAAGTTTTCCATCTCGGGTGGAGGGTCTGAGCGTTTGTGCTCGTTCTGGGACGGCCGACAGGGACCTGTGTGACCACGCGTGTGGTCTTTGGATGTAAACAGGATGGCGAGTCAGGGTCTGTCCTGAAGTTCCCGGGAGGGACCACCCATCAGATGGCCCCGGTCGGGGAAGTTCACTGTCCCCGGTCATGGCTGACGCCTGGGCCGGGTCAGAGCACAGTCCTGGGGGGCCGTGCTGGGCTGGGACAGGGCCACCTCTGTGCGTTGGTGTCTGGTGTCAGTTTATAATCTGATACAAACCAGACGTCACCTCGTTGGCGTCCCAGCAAAAGCGGCACCCGCCCTCCCATTATCTCTGGGTTTTCAAACACGTAGGGACATGATGTCATTGGCCAGGGGGAGTGGCCGGTGTCTAGGCAGCTAAGAAACTAAAAGCGCCTCTGTCACAGTCTGGGAAGCGGGGACACGGTATTGTCCATGCTTTTGGATTCAGAAAGCGCTCGAAAGAAGGGTGTGTAGAGGACTGAGGGGAAGAGCAAAGGGGAAACCTTTGCATAAAGAGATGCCACGGGGCCCGCTGGCGTGGCTCAGGGGTTGGCTGAGTGTTGACCTAGGAACCAGGAGATCGGGGTTCGATTCCCGGTCAGGGCACATGCCCGGGGTGTGGGCTCGATGCCCAGTCGGGTNTCTCTCCCTCTCCCTTTGTCTCTCTGAAATCAATAAAGACATATATTTTTTTANTCGATTCCCGGTCAGGGCACATGCCCGGGGTGTGGGCTCGATGCCCAGTCGGGTGTGCAGGAGGCAGCCGGTCAGTGACTCTCATCATTGATGTTTCTCTCTCTCCCTTTGTCTCTCTGAAATCAATAAAGACATATATTTTTTTTAAAAACCAGAGCGATGCCATGGGTTTTGGATAAGCTCAGGAGGCCTCTGACGTTAGGACAGGAGGGGCACGCGTGGCACTGCTTCCTCGGCATGTGTGGGTGTGCGGATGACCCCAGTCTCCCTATCCCCAGGGCGTGCACGACGTCCGGCTGGCCTACATCCAGTTTGCGCTCTCCTTTCTGATCGCCGGCGACGACAGCACCGTGGCGCAAGTGCTGGAGCTGAAAGGTGGGTGTGCCCTGCGGAGCAGCACCGTCCGCGTCTGCTCCGAAGGTCCGCTTCAGTGAATGGCCACCGACGCTTTAAATACATCTCTGAGCAAGTCCGGGCAGAGAAAGTTTGGAAAACTATGATCATAACATATTCTCTCTGAAACACTCAATGTTAAGTTAATTTCACCGAAGTGACCGTGAGAAATGAAAAGAAAAACAGAGCTAAAGAGCAGCCGGGCTTCATTAATAGTTATTTCCCTGCGCACAAAAGTGGCGCCATCGTATCATTAAACAGACAGGACTTTAAACCAGCAGGCGGGGCCTCCTGTGCTGTTGGGTTTAGGAAGCAGCTTATGCTGCGTGTAATGCTCTGAACTTCTACTTGCAGAGTTTATTCCGTGCATTTTTGCCTCGGGAGTCAAGGAGGATAGGATTTCTACCGTCAATATTTTGTTATCCACGCTGAAAACAAAGGTACGTGTCTGCTCCTGGCGTCCCCCCTCCGTCTTCCCAGGCGTCGCGCAGGCCGTGGGGCCGGCTGTGCCGCGCTGGCTGAGGCCGACCGCTCGCTGCGCCGGTCGTCACGCGGGTCGGAATGAGAGCTGTTTCCCAGGAGGGTGGTGTTGGGGGCGAGCGGCCTGCAGCCGCGGCGTCCCCTTCCCTGGGAGCGTTGCGGTCGCCGTGGGCTGTGACCAGTCGGCTTCACCTACGACCCAGGGCATGTGGTTTGTGTCCTCTCGCGTGTTCTGTCTGCCACGAGCACCTGACGGGAATTGTGAGACCTCCTCCGAGGCTCTCTGCCTTTAGTCCAGATGCACCTTGAGGGAAATGTACCAAATGCCTGCTAAGTAGGTAGCCTCGGGTGGTGGGAATGTTGGTGAATTTTGGTTTTTCTTCATATTGTTTCCCTTTTTTGGTCAAAATGTTTTGTCTTAAATCTACATTATTTTTATAATTTGACAAAAATAAACGCTATATTTAAAATGGAATTCCTTGCAATTGCTTTGTTTCACTGTTTTCAGGTGGTTCACAATAAAAATATCACAAAGACCCAGAAGGTGCGATTCTTCACGGGGCAGCTGCTGACCCACATAGCGTCTCTGTACAGCTGGAACGGGGTCGTGGACGTGGACCTGGGGAACGCCGAGGTACGGTGGCCGTCCGCGGCCTCGTGGTCCCTGTGGGAGCCCCACAGCCGGACCCAGACGGGCGCATGCACCCGCCTTTACAGCATCTCCCCGTTTGGCCAGTGTCTTCTGGCTTGTGGTTATATTAGTCTTCCCCTTAGATTCAGTATGTTTTAAAAATGTTACTTTACAGTAAGATACTCTGTGGTATCAGGATACTAGACTTTTTTTTAAAGATTTTTTGTGTTTTTTTATAAAGAGGAGAAGGGGGAGAGAGAGAAACATCCATGATGAGAGAGAATCACCGGCCGGCTGCCTCCCGCACGCCCCTGCTGGGGGTGAGCCCACCCCCGGGCGGTGCCCTGACCGGGACTCGAACCGGCGACCTGTCAGTGGACAGGACAGCACTCGGCCAACCGAGCCACTCTGGCTGAGGCTAAACTTTTCTTTTAATAAGAAAACTGTCCCCTTTAGCTGAGTGCTTGCAGGGGAGGGACAGGACTGCTCCAGGCTCTGCCTCCTCGCATTCGCCTCTTTCTCTTTCTTCCGTTTTTTCAAATCTGGCTTTTGGAGTTTCCGGGCTCCTTGCTTTTAATTCAGGACCCTCAGCACCTGGGGCACCCGTTTCCTCTCCTGCTGACATGGACAGCTGGCTCGGTCGTAGTCACTGACGTCCTAACTCGAACCATCGCTCACCTTCACCCACGGCCAGTGTCTCTTACCTCCCCTCTCTCTGAAATTCCTCGGGGTGTTTCCAAACGTGGATGTGGCCAGAGTCGTGGCGGCTCAGACTTCCTTCCTGTTAACAGTAATTACCCCTTCGAGCCACTGTTGTATTTCCTTTTGTCTCCCCGACGTGCCCGTCTCCTCTGTTTTTGAACATGTTTTCTGCCCTCTATTACCAGGGAACCTCGGGGGCTTAATAAGAACACTCCCAAACATGGAATTTTATTGAAAAGAGCAAGCGAAATCAAGCCATTCTTAAATTGTTTAAAAATTCAAGTTTAAACATGTCTCTCTTAGGAATAATTTTTTATTCTCAATTGGTGTTTCTGGTTTTTTGTTAATTTTTTTTTAAACGGTACCAAGTGTTTAATTGGAAATGTCTTCTGCGTTGTCATCTGGCATGTGGCACTGTCACGTGTACTCTGTAGCTGTTACTAAGGTTTGTCACCTCGGAATTCTCTCTGACTTCTCTGAAGCCCTCCCAGGCGCCTGCCGAGGACGCGGGGAAAACCATGGTGCGGGAGCTCGTCCATCGCTTCCTGCTGGACCTCTGCTGTTCGCTCAAGCACGGGATTAACTTTTACGACCCGTCTCTGGGAACCTCCGGCAGGTGAGGGTCGCGCTCCCATGAGCGCAGCGGTGTCCTCGGAAGCCGCCCCCTCCATGCTGTGCAGTGAGCCTGTTGCAGGGTGGAGTCGTGGGTTAGAACTGGAAACAGAGATGCTGTCTGACCTGTTTCCGGGACGAGCGTTAGAGCCCAGACAGCTCCCAGTCGTGGGCTCTTGGGGAGAAGGTCTCGGGGCAGCTGCCGATGTGAACACGGAGCCAGGACATGTCACCAGGGAGGCGCTGCGTGTTTCCTCGGAGGCCGGACCTGAGGATAGGTCTTGATTTGCCTTCCCACAGAGGCTGCCTGCAGTGGGCCTTAGCACCGTCCCGGGGGGGTCATTGCTGCTCGGTTTTGTGTAGAGGCCGGGTCACTCCCCCGTGTGCGAGGCAGGGCTCAGATTTGACCCCAGGATGTCTGGTTCCACATTCAGCCTCATATTAGCTCAACAGTTGGCTACTGAACAGTTAGGGTTTCAGAATTTTATTTGTCCACTTTGTTTCATATTTCACAATTGTGATAATATTTCATATACAGCCCAGAGCTAACAGTTTAGACTGTGTTCCTTTAGACTTTCTCTTTGCAGTTCTGTAACTGTAACGCACATCCATGTTATTTTGTAACAACCAAAGTGGCCTATGATTAGATACACTGTTCTTCAACTTGCTCGTTTCTAGTTGACAGTGAGAGTGTTGGACGTACGGTCATTGTGGGTGGCTCCTAGTTTTCCCCCTTGGCATTTCATTTCATTATAGGAATGAAGATCGTGTGATTTGGTTTTTACCAGTCAGGAGGTGGGATGGCACGGTGGGGATTTTCCTCCCTGCTTGTGATGGGCTGTGGGTTGGTTCTGAGATTGTTAGGATTAAGTTGCCACAGCATTTCTTTTTCTCATCAGTTAGAACAAGCGTAATTTCCTGCTACAGTGTTGAAGCAGACTTTTATAGTCTAATATGATATAATTCCGTGCTTAGATCACATGCATTTCCCCCTAAGTAGATCCGTAAACTAGGTGATCATTAAGTGAGCATATTGAATCAGCTTGTGGGTCTGTTCAAATGAGCTGTGCTTTACGTTTTTTGAAGCTGTGAGCAAAAGAGGAATGTTTATGCTTCGGGGAAAGGAAGGGAGTTTTGCGTGTGGGGACATTGATGGAAAGCTTGGAGGAAGTTGAAATTCATGTCCTAACAGTTCAGAGTCTCCCTTTCTTGATTCATGAGGTGTCCATGCCGACGTCCCCTCAGGGAGCCTTCCCCAGTGGCCTCTCTGGGAAAGCCCAGCATCCGTGTCCTTTTGCCTGGCTCTGCTTCTGGCCGGGGCTGGCTGGCCACTCCCTGCATGTTGGTTTGTTTGCTTGTCTGTTACCTGATGGGCGAGAATGAGAACAGAGCCTGGTGTGTAGTAGGTGCTTGGTGACAGCGAGGCCTTGTAGCGCCGGCCGCGGTTGGCAGTGGGGCCCTCTCGCTGACTTGGGGGGGGCGACGGGGAAGGACAGAGTGAAGTGAAGTTCACGCCCGGTAGTGGCACCCCCCGTGCCGTGAGGACACCCTGTTTTATGCCACGAGGGGGATGTGTCATCACCTGGCTCTGCGCTGTGACCGTTCCCCCCGGCCCCCCTTCTCTGCAGAGGGGGGAACCTGACGCTGCTGCACTTCCTGTTGGGCTTGAAAACAGCCACTGAGGACGAGCTGGTGGCTGAGCTGGTGGTGAGCATCCTCAGGGTGTGCCCCGACCTGCTGAACAAGTACTTCAGGGAGGTCACCTTCTCCTTCCTCCCGAGAGCCAAGTCCACGTGGTCAAACAACATCAGGCTGCTGAACAAGGTGGACACCTGGGAACCTCAGGGTCTGACGGATGGGCGGGGCCGGGGCAG